TAGAGATATCTATATAATTTTATTATATAGATATCTCTAGAGATATCTATATAATTATCTATATATCTATATATCCATATATTATCTATATATATCATAATATATAAATAGATATACATATATGTATTTTATATACTATATATATCACATCTTCTTTATCTGTTCATCTGTTGATGGATATCTGGGCTCTTTCCATATTTTGGCTATTGTGGACATTGCTGCTATAAACATTGGGGTACATGTGCCCTTTAGAATCACTATGTTGTATCCTTTAGATAAATACCTAGTAGTGCAATTGCTGAGTTATAGGGTAGTTCTATTTTTAACTTTTTAAGGAACCTCCATGCTGTTAATTTTAGCCATTCTGACTGGTGTGAGGTAGTACTTCATTGTGATTTTGATTTGTATATCCCTGATGGTGAGTGATGTTGACCATTTTTTCACGCGTCTGTTGGCCATTTGTATGTCTTCTTTTGAGAAATGTCTGTTCATATCTTCTGCCTGTTTCTTGATTAGATTTTTGGGGGGAGGCTGTTGAGTTTGTTAAGTTCTTTATGGATTTTGGATACTAGCCTTTTGTCTGTGTGATATGTCATTTGTGATTATCTTCTCCCATTCTATAGGTTGCGTTTTAGTTTTGTTGATTGTTTCCTTTTTTCAGCCTTGTTTTTAAACTCAGGATTTCTTACCCATCTTTTTGCTATTTGCTATAGGGTAAAAGATACTAAAATTTAGTATTTTCTATGGTATAAAGCACTGATCGATCAATATGTTCTTTATTGATTTAATTATTAAATAATTTGAGAAAATTACTGTATCATTTTCACTTTTAGTTCTCTTTCAGCTATAAAAATAATGTGCATGTTTTGGAATTTTAATTTTTATTTGGAAGTTAGTTCATTTTAAGCAACTTGATCAGAGTTTTACTTTTAAAAGTAGTCAAACCATTGTGCATTAACATTTAAAATTAAGTAGATAAAGTAAAAATAACACACATCTGAATTCTAGGTTAAAGGGAATTAAGTACTTTCTTCTTTTTTTTTTTTTATTTAATAAATTTTATTTTTTATAAACATATATTTTTTTTCCCCAGGGGTACAGGTCTGTGAATCACCAGGTTTACACACTTCACCGCACTCATCATAGCACATACCCTCCCCAATTCTTTTTTTTTTTTTTTAATTTCTTTTCAGTGTACCAGAATTCATTGTTTATGTACCACACCAGTGTTCCATGCAATATGTGCCCTCCATAATACCCACCACCAGGCTCACCCAACCTCCCACCCCCCAAGTAATTTCTTGTTAATATTTTCTTCTCCTGTATTTCTGCTATTTTAATCTAAAATTTAATATTTTAATTTAGGAAGTAATTTATACCTTATCATGTGTAATTCTAAATTGCTTTGTTATAAAGCTTTCTAGTGTGAAACTTGTTTATATTGTTTTTTGAATAGGTTTAAAAAATTTTGAATGGCATCTCTAAGAAGTACTTTTTCCCTCTATTCACTTAAACTACTTCTAAAAGATTGTTATATATGTCTTAGTAATAAAGGAAATTTTATATCATTTATCTGTAACCTACTGTTTAAATAGTCATGAGAAAAAATCTTTTATTTGTTATGTAATTAAGATTCAGGTTTCCTGAGTCTGTATAAGGATCAAATTAACATTTATATTTCTTAGCAGTAAGTAGAAACTTACTGAACTCAAAATTATACACTCTTTGGATAGTGTAAATATTACTGTTGTAACGGAATTTCATAATAATGGTAAAATTATTGTCACTTCTTTTTAATCATGATGGCCCTATTTTCAAAGACATTATTGAACACTCATGCACACACAATATGATTAATTTTCTAACATATTCTGCTTCAGTTGAAGAGCATAATGTGCATTAAGCTAGTAAAATTCCTGGAAGTGTTTTACTTCCAGCTTCTGCTTTGAAACCAATAGATCTGAATAAACCTTGCCAAGGATCTCTTCTAAGCCTGTTAATGTAATTAGATCCCTCTGGGCTTCCTTAAATATGTAGATCTGAACTTGCTTTAAGGAAACATGTAGGGATCATTGGCCCGCTTATCTAAAGGCACGTACTCATTCAATGTATTATTTCATGCCGTGAAACACAGTGACTTTTGGCTTATGATGGCTGACTTCTGTACATTTGTTTCTTGTTCTTTTCCTTGGTTCTCCAGAAAAAGTAGGGTTAAATTATAAAAAACACATAGGTAAAATGAAAACAATGTGTCAGTGAATATATGGAATATTAGTGGTATCCTTTTACTTAATTTTTTACTGTTAGGATATAATAGAATAGCTAGCATAAAAATATAAAAATAAAGATTTTATTTATTTATTTGACAGAGAGAGATGGAGCACAAGCAGCGGGAGCAGCAGGCAGAGGGAGAGGGAGAAGCAAGCTCCCTGCTGAGCAGGGAGGCCGGTTGTGGGGCTCGATCCCAGGACCCTGGGATCATGACCTGAGCTGAAGGCAGATGCTTAACTGACTGAGCCACCCAGCTGTCCCTAAAAATACATTTTTTGAAATTTAGTATATCTACTTTGTCCAAGCATAGGCAGGAATGAGATAAGGTGCAACACTCGTGGAACTTATGGCCTAATTAAGGCAAAAACTTGAGAATTGCACAGATAAATGAAAAAGCACAAATGAGTTAAGTGCTGCTAAGTAAAGGTAATGGAGCTAGGAGAGCAAGCATATTATAAGGGCATCTTACCAGGTCAGGAAAATTGGAAAGGCTTTCTTGAGGAACTGATAAATGAGCTAGATCTAAAAAATAAAAAAGA